AAGCCCGGCATTGTCAGCACCCCAATAAGTGTTAAATGGTTTGTCCCAACCCTCTGACAACTGCTGGACAGCTTATCGGCCGAATCCCCAGGTGGAAAGGAAACTTGAAAAAACCCGCCTGCAGCCACCACATTTTAAAGATGAATTGGCTTCAATCTATTCCGTTATTGCATTTGGGTTCAGATCCGCTTTAAGCTTTGAAAATGAAAGATGGAAGTTGATTGGTTGCCATGCACAGCTGCTCCAGTTTCCCCCTCACTGTGTCTCATTTTGCACTTCCCCCCTAAATAGGATTTTAATGTAGGAATTGTCAAGTACACAAAAGGCTGAAGTATGCATAGAGGACATTGGGGGGAGATGTATCATAGCAATTGCGAGTGTTTGAACTTGTACGGAATATATTTGATGCACTGTGCGCCAGATTTATGATGCTAGTGTAATGTTGTTCATTAGGGATGCGCCAACACCGGTATTTCGGTATCGAGTACCGATATTTTTTTTTTCCCGCTACTCGCCTATACTGAATACTGATATTGGAAGTCTTATTAATGAAGCCAGGCAGCATGTAAAGACTCGCCACCCGGTTTCCTGATTAGCAGGGAAGCCGTTCCCATGCTTCTCGTCACTGTGTGACCAGAAAGCATGAAGCTGGCTTTCTGGCCAATCAGGAAGCCGGGCGCCATGTAATGGCGCAGCGCCCGGCTTTCTGATTGGTTTGGAAGCCGACTTCATGCTCTCTCCATCTCATGACGAGGGAGCATAGAGGCCGCTTCCCGGCCAATCAGGAAGCAGGGCGCCACGTCATTACACATGCTTTAGCATGGGACGGCTTCAGTTTTCCATGTTTTAACAAAGATGACTTTATTGTGTTGTGAATATTCTAAATAAATGATGTATATCCCCTATGAAATTCCACATAGACGGGAGCCATTGACAAGTTTGCTGGAACTGCTGGCCTTGAAGAAGAACTCCGGGCACATCAAATCTTAACCCTGCCACTGGTGCTACCCCCGCACTGCAAGGATTAAGGACTCGTTTTGTCTAAGGAGCAAAAGTTACCAAGTTATACTCGCTCAAACGGTGATCCCAGCTGGCTCCCTGCAGCCTGTCTCTACCTCTGCTCCTGCGGTGGTATGTCCCTTGGTGTCCTCGCGTCCTATACACTGTATATAACGTGATGACTCGCAGGACCTTAGACCGCTGGAGCAGAGGAGGAGACCGGCTTGAGGGACTGATCTCTAAGAGCAAGCGGGGATCGTGGTTCGGGTGAGTTTAGCTCCCTAGACAAAACGATCATTTAACCTTTGCAGTGTTCGGGGTTGCCCTGCTGCAAGGGTTAAGCTTTGATTTGCTCGGAGTTCTGCCTTAAGCATCATTTTGTCTAATTGAAACCTAGAACAGAAGTGTCTGATGAGGGATCAGTCGCAACAATAACTCGTTCTCGTGTGTGTAAATTTCATCATGAGTTATTGAGGTCTGTACACAGCATGCTTTTCTCCACAGGCTGTAATGAGATGGAGGGAAATGATGTGCAATGGAGTCTAAAGCCCCAAATAATAATGTGTATGTGAAGGAAGGTTTTTGGGGAGAGTAGTGAAGAGTTGGACAAATTGCAACGTTTTTATTGCGGTCTCTGGTACTAAGTGATAGAAAATCCAACATTGAACAGGAGGTGAGAGGAAGTTTTTCCAACGGGGATACATGTCCTAAATATAACTATATTCAAGAGGAACTTTACCCACCAATTTTAATGTCTCCCA